TATTATCAAAAAAAATTTTATTTAATTATATTAAAATTTAAAAAAAGTAGATCATAACAATATTTATGATAATTTTCTAGGCAAATTTGCCTAGAAAAGCCTACAGTTTAAGGGATATAGTTAATATTTTTTTAAATATAAATATTTAATTATTATTTATTGCAAAGCAATATCTTTAGGTTTAAAGATAGTAATATATAATTCACAGCTCACAATATCATATGACTACTATGCTATATACTACGCCTTGTATAATATAGTACGTAACCTTGAATTGAAATTTGAATATCCTATAGATATGATTTATTGTTATATATATAGATGTTTAATATTTGTTGGCCTACTTATTAAATAAAAAGTCTTAGCTAATAAAAATGCACAATATTCAAGATATTGTTAAAAAATAAACAAAAAATCATTATGCCCAATACATGTTAATCGAATATAGTTTAAACTATATCAATAATCTAAAAACACCAGAAGCTTGATTAAGATTTACAAAGTATCATTCACCCAAATATATATGTAAATATTTATTTATTCCTGGATATGAAATTAATAGTAAGGATCATTAGGAAAATTTTGTATTCCATATTAAAAATAATTTGATCAGCTATAAGCAAATAGGTAATAACCCTAAATATAGAGATTTTAAAGTTCAACTATCATTATATAAAAAAATCATGCATCATTAATTATCCAGAAGTCATATTGTTTATGGAAAAAACAAATTAATTCAGCTAAAATAATCTAATATGCAGTAATTAAATGGCTTTATAGACCTGGTAAATCATTTATGAAGCAAGCCAAAGATCGATATTATCAAAATGAGAATAAGCTCCATTATTAGATAGAACAGATTTTATCTCTGCAATCAGACCCTTTAGGGGCAACCCTTTGGGTCATAATTATATTAGAGAAACTAACGCGATTATTTCTAATTACTCATCATGGATTACAAATAATAAAAAATAGCCACGTAAATATTATTTTTTCTGTTAATACAAATGATAAAAAATCAGAATATACTTACAAATAAAAATTACATCGAAAAGTGGTATATCTTTAGAGGATGGAAGCATGGGTGTAAGGTTTGTGACAAATGCAATCACTATTCTTACCTATATTGCAAAATATGCAAAAAAGTAGCAGATAGCATATATAGGCAATGCGAGTGTAAAAATTTTCGAATACGTAATTAAATAAATTGGAGTTAACAATTTGGTAATAAGGTTTGAAAATATAAATCACCTATTGATATCACATCGAATTCATCTTAATAACCAGTAGTAAGTATATTGCAACAATCTTCCAAGAAATTATGCTGGGCTGTGACGTCTTATCATACGACCTATACTTTTGAAGGACGTTATGGCGAACTCATATTGACATAGTAATATTGGCATAATCTTTGCTACATACAAATAATTTGATTTACTCTTTTGATCAGGTGGGTTGTTTTTGCTAAATTATATAACAGAAATTTGTTTTGTGTGAAGGTAGCATCCACTCTTACCAAAATGTCTCAAATTCATTATTTTGTATATATGATATCTGCCTTTTTCTGTACTCTAATTATCATCTTTGTAATCTTTATTGCTGGAGTTGCAGTGTATTGGATTTTGTTATTATAATGAAAATAATCTGCAAAGTTTCTTCTTGTTCTAACGTTACCTTAGCTACTTCCAATCATAGGCGTTCTTATCATGATTACTTTTATTAGCTATATCGGTTATCTAGTAGTCAAGGGAATCATACTAATCCTTAAATACTTTGGATTATATCCAAACAACAGTAGGATCAACTGATCGATCATATGACTGTCACATATAAACATTCTAAGGTTCCTTTTTTCCCACAAATTTGCAGTCATGGAAATTAATTCTTGACTTTTGACAAAATTCATGAATATGGCATAAAAAAACTTATTGAGTATTTGCAGACTGTAAAAAAGTTAGAACTTAATGAGAAACACTTTGAAATTATTAGAAAGGTAGAAATCAATAGTGAAAATTTCTTAGAAATAACTGAAAAAAAGCTTTATGATCTTGGTTTTAGTTTTGGACCTGCAGAACAAATTGTCAGATTTGCTAAGGAGTGTAGTGAACAGAAGAGGCAGAAATATTCATCCATTAGATCTTTGAGAGATGTCTTAAAAGATTATGGCGTTGACTCTGATAACATTTCAAGGATTCCGTCATTTGAACCACAAACTTACGAAATTCAAGATAATGATGAGTATTTTCAAAACTGTATCAATAATATTTTAATCAGAATTAAAAGCTATGAGACTTTATCCCCAAATTCTAATGAAAAAATTTGAAGAGAGTTTGTATCAACAATCCTTCACACAGCTCTCTGAATCACCGAAACTAGTACAAATAACATTTTTAATATGGCTGTTGAATATGAAGTCAATGGTAAAAAATATTATAGACCGACTGATTATGCCATAATAGAATCGAAATCTGAAAATCTTATATGCATTACAGAAGACAAGATAGATAAATCAATGCAAGAAGGTTTTGCTCAGAATATCAGACAACTCGAAAGCTCACATGATGTTAACAAAAAAAGAGAAAACGGGATGGAAATGATGATTTTGATTATCTTTACGGTATCATTACTTCCGGTACGCAATTTTACTCTATCTCTTATAATAAAAAGAAAAGATGAAATTTATTAAAATAATGTTTTTATTTATTGTAGCATGAGAATAGTATTTTTTACTTCATAACCCAGGAGAGATCTCATTAAGCAATAGAACACCTTTTGTTATTGAATATTGCCAAGAAGCTTGGAATAAGGAATTGAATGAATATGGAATTTTATACAAAAATATGAAAAAGGTTTTAAGCATAATTGTTGGTTTGTTAGTAGATAAAGCAGTTGATATTGAACCTGAAGCCAAAAGAGTAAAAGTAAACCGATTTCAATCAAATAGCAATTAGTATAAATAGGATTTCTCGTGTCAGAATTGTGTTTTATTTAGAAATCACAGGCAATTTTTTGTAATGTATTGCAATAATATATATTTCTGAATAATTCGTGTTTTATGAAAAAACATTAATATCATATATGTAGCGTCTCATTATCTAACCGTGACATCAATATCAAGTTTAGCACCTTTTTTATATGCAGTATATATTGTAAAATATAACAAATGTCAACAAAGTTTTACCATAGTAGTATGAAACTCATTACCTGATATGTCTTTACTACTTGGTATAAAAGAAATTAAAAGAAGGCTATTCGATATTCATTGAATATATATAACTTTTAGAGATAAAGTTTCATGGTGTGATAATAGCACATCATACTAATACCCTCGACTTATTTGCCTCAAAGAGGCATATCTTTGTGTCAATAAAAATCGCATTAAAAATGGCGAGGACACAGGACTCACCTTCTTTATTTAATAAAAATTGTTACTGGAAAAACAAACAAATATAAAATATTTTTATAAATAATAAAAATAAAAGATTATCCCTCTATAGGATATATGAGGAGGTGAATGAAGCTGATTCACCATTTTCTTGGGGATATGAATATTTGTGAACATTGATATACACTGTGTTAAAATATTTAGAAATTTTTTTTGCGATTTTATAAGTTTTCCTTGACCATCATTATAACTATTTACAGAAGAGACTATGGCAGGGTTAGGTTGAAAAAAATCAACTTTGTATATATCAAAATTGTTTTGAGATAAATTTTGCCGGGCACTTCTGATTTTGGTTTTCAGATTTTCGACTATTAACAATTATCTCAAAAATATTTTGGACGGTCTCACCACAAACAAAACAGTTGAGGGTAATATTGTTGACCATTTTGTGTTTACTAGATATAAAAAACCCATGTTGTTAACTAAATATTATTCACAGGTAAAAAAAAACAAAGCCGTATAATAAACGATATATTATCTCAAAATAAAATAGGAATATATAAGCCTTTTAATCAAAAAAATCTCGACCAAAAAATGCTATTATTTGTCCACTTTACAAGATAAAAAATCGCTTATTTTTATATCTTTCATTATACAAAGACTCTGGAGGGCATTACCAATTATCTAGATCTAAGAACTAACCAGAAGAAAAAATATACGATTAGTAATTACGTTACCCAACTCCAATACCAGTTTTTTCTCCATAAAGCAACTCTGCTTAGTCATAAGTTCTAAATACTGAATCTATATCGCTATTTTTCTGGTGAAATTATCCTCCTTATAATCGACGATCGCTTGAGGTAGGTCTGACGATCTCGGGAGATGGCAGAGATTTCAAATTCCTACAACATATGAATTTTGGTAATACTACTGATTAAGAACATTATACGTATTATCTTTATAGCCTTTTTAAGTCACATTCTTATTGCAGGATCGTATATAGAAAGGAAAAGGATCTAGAGATTCGCATTATTTGTTAATAAAAAATCGACTGAGAATTAATTATGTGGGAAAGTGATACTGCATAAAATTTAGACCCAAAGGGTCATTGCTTCGCAATAATGCTGGACCATTAATTATTAAAGCCGGTCAAGTTTTTATTACACATTCGAATTGATAAACCTTAATATTTTTACTCAAGTATAACTGCTTTGGTCATAGCTACCAAAAGTTTTCTGATTTTAATAAATATCGAATTTTTACTCAGGATGCAAAGTCGCAGACTGTAACTGCCTAAGCAAGAATTGTGAGAAGGTAGGTTGGTAATATGTACATAACCCCACAGGTTACAATATCATGTGACTACTGTGCCCTGGTGACATGGTGTCCCGCTCTGGCAATTAGAAAAATAGTGTTTTTGTCTGCAATATGCAACTGTGTTGGCAGTAGAAGAAACCCTGAAAATGAAACTTTTATGATTAAGATTTCTAATAACAAAAAGTATGAATTGCTCAAATATGTGGTAAAAGAACGTTTGGCACCTTTAAAATTATGCTTTTTCGTTAGTTGGTATCTTATAAATTATTCAAAGTTTATCATGTAGCATAGCATTCATATATTTCCAGCGATATCCACCAGCATAAGTTTGATATCCTCTACATACTTTCCCAATACTTGATTGAGCGATCCCAGTTATACGTTGTGCTTCAGTTAAAGATAGAAATTCTTGGAAAAATCCATTATCAAAAATCTGTTTGACAGCACGTTGACGCATCCAACCATTATGAGGTCTAAGACGCACTGCATATTGTATATTGTCTCTTGGTACACCATTCAAGATTAGATGCTTTGTTGTTGGTAGAATTACCGTCAATGTGGTTCACAAATTTTTTGCCTTCTTTTTTAGGGCAGAATGCTAGTGCCACTAAATGATGAACATGATATTTGTGAATACGGCCAATTCAGTAATAGCCTGCATACAAAGATCCTTGAGTGATCATACCATTTAGTAACTAAACTCTGCCTAAGGATGAAACTTTAAATTTTTGCGAATTAACTTCTATTTCTTCCCATTCTTCATTGAGGTCTGGTTCAATATAATCTTTGTAATACATCCAATGCCAACCACCAGCAGTATTTCGCTTTCCATTACAACATTCTGAAATGTTATTTCCTGCGATTTTAAGCATTTTACCTGCAAGAGAGATTGAATTTCAAATTTGAACTACATTTCCATCCATTGTTTTCTGCACGATATGTCTAGAGCTATCACAACAAATATTCAGGAATATTTTATGTTCTGCATTCTCCTTAAAAGTTACCTATTCTAAATTAACAGCTCGATTATCATGTTTGATGCTGTTAATGTGGTTAACGTAAGGCTTATTTTCTGGGTTAGATATGAAGGCTTGTACAACTAGAATATGGACATCAGTTGATGTACGAATACTATTAATGCTTAAATCAATTCGTATATAACCACTTCTTTTGCAAACATTTTCTTTTAAAATCACATCTTTATTATTCTTGATACATCCAAGATTAGATATTAATTTATTCGAATCCACTATAGGTAACCAAATTTCTATTATTTGCTACTTATAATGAGTCATTTTTTTAAATGCTATATGATGCAGGAGCTAGATATTTATTTACTATACTAGATCAGATTCTGTCAATTTTTTTTATGTAGTTTCGATATTAAAAAATAGAAATGAAGAAGTTTCACCAAATTGAACTGTCATACTCTTATAAAAATATAAAGTTGGTAACTGTTATCAAAATAGAATTGGAATTGAAAAGATAATTAAGATATTTACTTATTATTGTAAAGCAATGATAATACAGAGTATCGAATCTACGATTTCTATTCAAGTCTATAAACGATCAGCTAATATGGGCAATGTTCGTGAAATACTTCAAGTTGGTATTCTTGATATTTTTTTTTCTAAGAAAATTATGAATTCTAAGAATTCTAAGAATTCTAAAATTACTAAGAATATTTTAATTCTCAGAATCTTTATATTTTATAAAAATGCTGAATTTCTGAATATTATTTAGAACTTCTCAAGAAATTACCTCTTTCTATAAAAAAAAATATATAGAATTGTCTTATATCTAGATTATATAATTCTTTATCAGAAGAATAGGCAAGTAGTATTCATTCTGATATTGAAGTATTGCTAATTAGTGAAGTTGATAAATATGAAAAGAAAAAAAATCGGCAATATTGTAGATCTGAAAGAGCATTGCTTCACAATAATCTTTCAGATGATACTATTTTTACTAATATCCAAGTAATTAAGACCTCAAGGAACATTGCTCTACAGGCCCAAAGGGTTGATCCTAAAGGGTTATACTCTGAAGAAGAGGTTAAAGCTATAATCAAAGAAGCTAGAGATAATTTACATCAAGAATTAATTAAATCTACTGAGGAAACCTTAAAAAGTATTAAGCAATAGAAAGATATAGAATGCAATCAAATTAAAATAGATATGAATAATAGAGCCAAAAATTTGAAATTACATTGAAAAAATATATCTGAGATGATACTATATTTAATCTTATTCATACATTAGAAGAGAAAGATGGTAGGTTATATTCTGATATATCTAAATTTAAAGGGTTATAATTTAGAGAAGAATTGATTTATACATTTTTCCCATATAGAAATATCTCAAAACCTAGCTTTCTCAATATATTGAATTGTATCTTTACTACATAAAGCTCCTTCAGAACTAATTATTTTTTTTTGAGTGAATTAGCAATTTGAAGCTTTGCATCCTTATCTTTATTATAAACAAAAAGTAGAATAGTAATACTTTTTCCGTTAGTTAATGCTGTAAACTCACCCTTTATTATAGGTTCTCAGCCAGCTTGATGTTGCTATCTAGTACCAAGAATAAATAATAATATATCATTACCATTATTATCTTTTTCTGTTGGTAAAACTGAAAACTCATCCGAAATTGTTAAGGTATCATTTTCAATATCTATAGTAACAAGTATATCAGAAAAGCTTCCAATAGAATGTTTTTTGTCTATAGCACCTGTTAGTCTATAAACCTTTTTTCTATCTATTTTTAACCCAAAATATTTTATAAAATAGTTTGTGATATTTCAGAAATATGTAATCCATCTGAATCTGTATCGAGTAATGCATGAGGTATTTCTAAATCATATATTTTGCATGAAATAGTGGCATAATTATTGGTTTTTTTATTTGCAAAAAGTTTATTTTTAATAGGTCAAGCCAATTTCAATATAACTGGGCTTTTTGATATTGTTTTATAGCATAATTTAAAGAAGGAGACCCTTCTATCTTTTCACAATAATTGCTTGAAGTCAGAGATACTGGCATATCGTTTTTTGAGCAAGCAAGGAAAAATAGTTCTAAAATAATTTGATACTTTTTTATTATATTTTCGCATACTTTGTCTATTTCTTTATTCGTATAATTTTTTGAATGATATGAATAAAATAAGTCTTTCATTTCAGAAAATAATTTACTAAGATCTGTATATATTTCAGTTAGAATTTCTTTAAGATATCGAGAAATATATCTTGTTAAAACATATTTAACTGGTTCTAAAAATATCTAATTTTCATTAATAGCTTTTTTATTAGTTTTTGGTTTTTTGGATTTCTTTTTTATAGAAGACTTAGAAACCCCACTTTTTTTTTTATATTAAAACAATTA